CCGCCGCTAACCCAAACCAAATGTGACTCCTTCTTGGTCCAGTGTGCACAACCTGTGATTGTGTGTGAAAACTTTGTTAATTTGAAAGCCAATTTCCCCACTCCCCTTCTTCTACCCCCACCGGCAGTACCTAATTCCTTTGGTGTGGGGAAGTGGAGCAAAGGCGCTATTTATACCCCCCTGGTGAAGCTTTACAAGTTGATCTTGTTATTTACAAGTCCCCATTCAGCAACCAGCAGCCATCCCTGATTTGGTTTTTCCCCTTCCCTGATAAAACTGGTTTCCTTCTTGGCACAAACTGACGACGCCCTGGAGACTACAGGTGTTTATTTTCATTCTGTCAGATCCGAAGATGAAGCTTGTCGAATACATCTATGTATGTATGTATGTCACAGTGTCTTCACTGTAAAATGTTTTTCTCATATGTTCTGAATCTTTGGTCTCATGCGGCGGATGTATGATATGTATATCGAATCTTAGGCAAAATTGCCAAGAGGAAAATGGGCATTCTTTTAATTTTAAATTACAGAACTTGCTTCAAGAAAATAAACCATGCCTTATTTTTGGCCTTTGGATTGACAATTTGTGACTTTCTCTTATAAAGTGAATCACCTCTGTAAATACCTACAAACAAAACAAAAAGGAAGTCATTTGGTCAAGCTAAAAGATTCGGACAGGATAGATATCTCAGATCCCCCTGCTGGTGCTATTGTGTGCTGTACAGTTCAGGGCAATCAATCATGACACTGGGCATTTTGCAAGAATTTTTGTAATGTGTTTCTGATCTTCCCATCGTCCCGTGCTCCCTTGTCAAATAATCACATGTGGGTAGGTGTGAGTCTGCTCCCTAAACCATAGCAGATTTGCCAGTGTAGTGTGAAGGAAGGAAATTTTCAAACAGCCCTTCAGTCCCTTCGAAAGTGTTTAGAAAAGCAAATGGACAGGCACGCCCCGTTACCGTACCGTCACCCTCTTTGGTGTTTGGCAGCAGAGCGTAGGCTAGACATCCCTGGATGGCCAGTCTGCTAGTCAGGTGTTATCATCCATCTACAACAGGTTGAGCCAGCTGTAAGTCAATGGTCCTCCAGTTGCTACTTCCTTCCTGATCTTGCTCATCGGCTTAGCCCCATCCCCCTCCCCCTTCTTTCACCATCCCCAGAGCTGGGGCATGTTTCTTGGAGACGCTTTGATGGAAATTTTTGTTTTGTTTTCTGTGTGTTTTGTTGCATTTTGTTTGGTTTTTGTTTTTTGGTCATAATGTGCTCTGTTTTGTATGTGTGGTTTGATTGAGCTGGGTTCAGAATTCATCCCAGGTGGTTGAATTGCATTTTGGTTTTTGGTCACAATGTGCTCTGTTTTGTATGTGTGGTTTGATTGAGCTGGGTTCAGAATTTATTCCTGGTGGGTGAATTTGAGCAGGAGCAGTATTATAATAATGATTACCAGAATTGTAACAAATTATTATAATTACTAATAACAACTAGTATATTAAAGTGTTCATGCTGGCTTTTAACCATGGTTCAAATGGACACCTTTTGCTGCCTTGTGGATGAAAAATGATAAACAGTCTATCTGCCATTTTGTCTCCAAAATTATTCATGAGATTCTCCTCACAGTTCTTGATCATTTCTGAAATTCGTTCTCTTCCACACATCATTAGGCCCTGTACATTGCAAGTTCTTTAACATGTACATGTAGATTATATACAGTCACGTAAACAGACTTTTTTTAGTCTTTAGGCCTATGTTGAAATGATTTTTCTCAGTTTTTGTAATGTGTGTATTCTGCAATGATTTTGGTGTAATTCGGACTGAAAATTTTCGAAGTTATAAAATTGGGAAACCAGCCAAAATCTACATACTGTCACTTAGAATATTTATTTTTGAGGGCTTTTTTGCTTAGCTAACAATGCCCTTGATTGTATGGTGTGTACTTAATGACTGTGTATATAGTCATTCTCAACTCCTTTATCTCGCTAGAGGGAACTTTGAAAATGAAACTTATTTCCTTTCAGCTAACTTCAGTTTCCTTATTTTGTTGTCCCCTACATATCTGCCATATGTTTGCTTCATGTATGTGTCCACACATATCAGGAGGTTTGACATACTCTGTTATAATTAGTGACCGTCTTTTGACAGCTTGTCTTTGTTTTATGAATTTGTTTTCATGTCTTTTACTCAGAAATACCCTCAAAAGGAAGAAAACGTCTTTCAGCACTGTAACTGTTCTCTCATATGAATATAATTGTAGAGGCTGTGGGACGTGTCATGTTGCTAGTAAATGACTCCGATAACAGATTTCTGATTTACAATCTGCTTCAAGTGTTCTTTTTATTTCTCGTTTTTCATACATGTATGTCCTGCAAGGAAATTTGTTCTTAAAAATTGAAGCAGGCGTTACTTTGCAGTTAATTACTTTGTCATTTAGTTTTTGCTTTGTTTCAGTTTAGAAAGAATGTGATTATTTCAAGTAAACAAAACTTTCTTCTACCTGTTTCCTTTGCTTTTCAGAATTGTGTGGCATGGGGCTCATTCAAAGAACATGTAAATGTGTATATGTGGTATTGGTTCAGTTGTATAAAAGAAATTTAGATTATTGCAAGAGGACAATTTGTGAGGAAATAAGAAAATGATGATCGTTAAATGCCATTTTTGTGTTCCAACATTGAGATGTTTGGATGTGCAATGTGAAGATAAACAAGTACATTTTTCTAATTGGCCACTATCTTAAGATCCCTAGGGCCAGTGAGATGAGAGGAGGCCTTGCTTCAAAATTACAGTTCCTGTCTGAAGAATAAAAATAACCCTCACATGTGCCCTCAACACCAATGAGAAAATGACGGGCGTTGGGCATGATTTATGAGTATTGTAACCTGTGCTTTATTAAGTGCCAAAAGTTACTCAGAAAGACTCGGCAGAAAAAAAAATGAGGGAGGAAACAGGTTTTTGCCAGGTGTGAGAACAGGCAGCCAAAAATTCTTAGAGTTTCCACCATCAGGCAGACGTGAGAAAATGAGAGAGGTTGTACAACCTAATTAGTGGTAGATGTACATGTCTGCTGTAAAATAATTCTACAGTGGACATTTGAAATTTCAAAGATGAAATCTTCTTACCTATAGCTCTCCTACTGTATCCATCAATACCTATTGGGAGTTTGGGGAGGTATTAGCAGGACTGAGGAAGGTAGAGTCCAGCCATTGTTACTTTTCATAGGACTTGTTGCTGATGGAAAGTTCGAGTGTGAAGAAGGAATCTTAGGCTTCTTGCAAGGCTTTTGATTTAGGAGAGGCATGACGGCTTGTAGCGACATAGAAGATATTGGCTGGATTTGTTCTTCAATTTTGTTGGGGATTATTCTTGTTGAGCTGCTGCGCATTGAAATTTGTGTTGGTTAAGCACAAACAGGTTATTAGTGAAAATGTCATCGGATATTGCTTGTTAAAGATTCTCTGCTGATATTTTTTCAACCTATGAGTTTACTCTGCAAAATTTCCAATTTGTAGTACCACGAAATGAAATCTAAACGGCCAGACAATGAATTACATGTGTGTGTAGCAGCACAGTGTATGGTTGGTTTTATTGGTCAGTTTGAGTTCTGCCCTTTCTTTGGACTGTGGGAAGATGTTTCCAGTGCTAACCAGGGCCTGCAGCCAAAATGTCCCATTTGACCAGGCGCCTAACTCAAAGGGATGTATTCCTCTTGACACAGCACACAAACTGGAAGGAAGAGACTGCTTAGTTGCAAATTATGTAGAGCAGACAGTCTGTCAGTAGTGCTTAGCCCTCAGTTGAGGCATGCTAGCAGGGGGCTTATGTAACTGCTCAACCCTTGCTAGACTTGAAGGGAAGAGATCCGTTTGGGAGGGGTTTAGGGAGGATCTACTGTGGGTGCCAATACAGGTTGGTTGATGACATTTCAATTGTGGGAGTCTTGTGGCTTGACATGTCTTGTGCTTCATTCAGTGGAGGATATGTTGAGGTAGCTTATTCCTTATTAGATTGAGGGTGTGCGTAATTAGATATAACCTCAGGTAGCCCAGGCTACTTAAAAGATCACCAAAATATCAAGGGGCATTAACTTATTATTTTATGGTTATATTGGATACCGGCTTTAAAGGAAGACTGTATTGGTACCGGGTATGTTCACCACTCTTCATGTCACAGGGGTAGGTTCTTTAGTAAGGGAATAAAATGTGCTTGGTCACGTTTCAGACTGGCTCAGGAGAATGGATGGAACTAATGCCCAAGCTGCAGGCGAGGGCGTTATCAGCGTTCAGTCGCCTGAGCCAAGCACATATTTATTCCCACTCATAAATACCTTTTGAGTCGGAGAGTCAAAAGAAGTTAATATATGATGGATTTCCAATGATTTTGTTCCAAAATTTTACTTTCATTTTCCCAAACACCCCTGACCATTTTTTTGTATAATCTTTGTGTTTATTGTCCAAAAGAATCTCCGTTATGGATCTGACCAATCAGATTTGATTAAACTGTCTTGTATCCAGGTGCCAGCGCGTGGTTTACGCAGCAAACATCATCACTTCTCTGTGGGCATTATCAAATGTTAATACTTGGTCAAGTTGCAAGTTGTTGAATATAGAGAATGTGGGCATTTATGAATAAAGTATATTATCACCCCTATGTTTGAAATGGTTGTTAAACCATGAGTGGCCTTGCAGTCCATTGGTTGTAAGTTATAGTGGCCTGGTCCATTTTGTATTCAGGGGAGGCAGTGAGAGCTGCGAGTCAACTTACTGGGTTATCTGATTTTGAAAGCAGCTTGTACATGTCTTCTCTGCTACATGCGTACTTTGCAATTACAATTAAGCATTTGTTTTTTTAATGAAGAAATGTATCTTGCAAGCTTTTTTGCAGATGAAGTGTACATGATGTGAATGAAACTTCTTTGTACATTGCATTTATTGTAACCTCGTTCCACACGTTTCTGTATAACTTGCCTTCTGTAAATTACTTACGTCAAGTTTCATTTCCTCCTCTCAGGTGTGGCTGTCCAATGATGGAGGGGATAGTTTTCATCAAGTTCTCATTCTGTATCATAACGAAACTATAAATGGCTGCTATATCAGTGCACAAGGAGGTGACGTGATCTTTACGAGCAACCTTCACAAATTGTTTTTTGGTAAAACAGGTGTGTACCTTTTTTCTGTAAAGATTCCCCAAATAAAACTATATTCTTTGGTAAAAAAATTTGCATTAATTGTTCAGGTGAGTAGAATTCCTTAGTGACTCTATTGTGCTCATTTTGTTGAAAGTTGGCCATACACATGTATTTACACCTGTATTAACCACTTCCTGCCGGGGACTCCGGAATCGGAGACGTATGGTTTATATGCGTGGCCAGGGTCTCCGAACTTGGACAAAGGAAACAGGGCCCTGTAACAAAAGACAGTACTCCAAACAAAAGACCAGGCTGCTGGGCATTACCAACATTTTTCACTCTCAAAAGTGGTGGTAATCCAGCCTTGTTTTGAAACCGTATACCAGGGTTTGGGGCATTGAGAGCAAGCGGATTACCACCGGGGACAAAAGCGCTCCACCGCTGCAGCGATGAGCCACTCAGCACCCCTGCATTCTAATCTGCCCCTAGTGAAAAGAGGTCAGCAGTGCACTGAGCCAGTTTCGTGAACAAAAGAAAGTTACATAACACAGCACAATCTGGGCTCTCTACAAGGCTGCAGGCCTGGATGAAATACTTGTGCATCAATGAAGGTCACCTGTCAACTTAGAGTAGTGCCTAAAGATTACTTCGTGCGTCTTTCAACGACTGTTAAATGAAATGATGAATTTTTGAAGGATTTTGAAAACAGAAAAATGATAGTCATGCCGGCCCAGCATCATCACCATTGAAAAATGCCCCGGCATGAAGTGATTAAACTCTGTTAGGAAGACTACTACAGGTCCCACAAAGAGCGCATTAACAGTCAATCATCTTTTTCTGAATTCTGGCTTTGTCCCGGTCTTTGGGTGTTGCTCAAACTCCACTTTGAATCTGAGATGTTCAATATCTGTAGCAAATGAAAAATGTTTCAGACTTTGGTCTCGTTGCTGATAATTTGATGTGTCTGTGGTGGGAAGTGGACCAGCATTTAGCTGGAGGGTCACAAGTTGAGAGATTCTATTCATGAATGTGAGCACCTAAAGCTGAACCCTAACGCTCCTCAATCCTCCAATTTCAATATGATTTTACATACACCCAAGGGAGTTAGGGTTTTAGGGATCCAAAGCTGCTGAGATCTGGAAAACCCTCATAGTTTGAGGAGGTAGGCATTGAATGGAAGGGGTTTTTGTGTTGTACATGCTTTGATGCTGCTGGTCCTTGTTGATGTGCTCAATCAAAAGGCTTTTTTCAATGCTGAACATTCACTCAATGTTTCTCAGAAGTAGAATACATTCCTTGTTGCCGCTTGCTTGGGAAACCTTGGTCTGTGGAGTGTTAATTTTCTTAGTCCTGTTTTTGTTTCCCTCAAAGTGACCATTCACACCAAATTATCCGCCCTTTTCCTTCTGCGCTATTCCTGTTTTTAATTAATGTGTCTAGCCGTAAGCCTTGAAACCCCCAGAAATATAGACCTGGATGCTTAGCAATAAGCCAGCTGGTCAGAAGAGTTGGGGAAAGTAGGTCAGAGTGTACTATGTGGCATTGAGCTATAAAATAAAACAAAATTCTTGTTAATGTCTTTGGAAGCACTTCAAGAGTTTGGATCGGTTTCATGGCAGATTGCAAGTAATATGTCCATGGGAATGACTCAGCATCATCAACATTGAAATGTGATTAGATATTGTAAGTAAAGGTGAATCCAGAACTAGAAGCTGAAAGGTGGAGAGATCTTCTAGACTTCAAACTTAATTGATTGATGCAGATTGGTCTGAGACTGCATCTTAATTTCTGTATGTGAACTGCAGGTTATACACATGTACATTTACATTTACCTTGATCGCCTGTGTTGAATTTCAGAGACCCCTCCTCTCTTATCACCACTCGAGATAATTCCTAGTCTTATCAACGTCGTTACAGAAATGAGTAAACTTATTTCAGCACTTCCAACTGCTGAATAATGGAATGTTCAGGAAAGTGGGATTGAGCCAGATCTGTTCATGCTTGTATTGTTGGCATAATTGAGTTTGAGGGTAACATGGATGTTTCTTTGAATAAACTCACACTGATGGAATTCATTCACCTGTCTCTCTGCAAACACATACACCTGTTGACTAATGATGCTAGTTGCTGTACTTCTTTTTCTTGGAAATTGTGATTCATAAATTGACTTGCTTTGGTTTACCTATAGTGAAGGCATAAGATAATGAATTATTGAAGAAATTCTTTGAAGGCACAGCTGTGAGTGGGATTTAGGCTGGTTCCGGTTAGCCCAAATATTTGTGCACTGCTGGCACAACAAGGTCATTGCCACAGGCAACACCTGCAGTAGTAGGGGGGGGTTACTGCCGAGTAGTCACTTGCCATGTGGTATTATCGAGAGATCTACAATGTAGAAAACCCCCCATGTATATGTGGGTTGAAAACAAGGCTTGTTAGTTGCGCTGACGTACAAGATTGTTTGGAACTTGCCTGAGCTGTCATGATTTTGGTTTTGTGAAAACATCAGGGAAAATGATAAGAAAGTATCACTCGACCAGTAGGGCTAGCTCTGTGCATGAACAAACACTAGGCACATATCAGCAGTGATGTTAAACTTTGAAATTAAGTTTGGTTAGAATTAGAATACTGGTGGTTGGAGTTTTCAGTTTTGCAATTAATCAATCAACCCATCACATGACCACTGCATTTACTAACCAACAACCGGTCCCAGCAATAATTCACAGAAAAAAAACAACTAAGCAATCACTCTGACAGTCAGTCACATAACATGTAATTATTCAATTAATCATATCCATTCAGTCAACCAATCATTCAATCAATTGGCCGACCACACACCCTCTATCAATGTCCAAGTCATGCCACAGAGCCCATAATTGCATATTTCGTGGTCCATCTGGTGTGTCCAACCAGATGGTCCTGTCATTGACAAAAGTTCAAGTTCAGTTCAGCCAGCTACCTGTTGTTTTTTGCCTAGGGCCAGCAACCAGGAGGCATACTGTCATGAAAACAAATTGCTCACAACTGACACTTGTCTGAATGACACCTGCTTGTCAAATACCATCTCAGTGTAAACAAACAAGGTATCATGCCTCAGGGGTGAAGATTTGGGGTGGGGCTTAAGAAAGAAAAGGAGGAAGGTGGCTTCAATGCATCAACAGTGACCAAACTGAATGGAAGGAATGAAGGACTATGCAAAGATCAGGTCACTAGTTTTATAATTTGATCATCAGTGTAATAGTTGATGTGTGCATACATGTACATGTACACTGCAGGTTTAATTGTACATACATGTACAGGTATCAGTCATTGAATCTATCACAAATAACTAGAGTTGGATGAGGTTCAAGGGTGGATTCAAGGGGATCAACGAGGGCCTTGGTTCCTCATCCCACACCGACCCCACCCCCCAAAAAGAGGCAATTTTTTCATTAAGAGACAAAGGCAATTTTTATGTGTCTTTCATTTCTCCTCCAAACTTGTGTAGAAAACCCAACATGTAGTGTCACCACCTTTTAAAGGCCGTACATGCAATAATTTACCGCAACCCCCCCCCAAAAAAACCAAAGTTTGACAAGTTCCCTCTCTCCCACAAAACCTTGGTTCTGGATCAGCCCATGGAGAGTTTTTCTGAATTTGTGTCTAAAGCTTGTCTGTGCATTGCATCTTCTTCACCATGGAACTATAATTATATACCAAAGTGAAATTCAGGCTTTGGTAGCGGTAATGATTCACAGTAACATCAAGGAAACAGAAAGGGGGAAATCTCTGTTTGTTTCATGTGCTAAACATTTATTCAGTAAGATTGTAAGAGTAGACATGTTTAAACTTTAAGATAGGGACAGATGTAGGAATGCACAGTTGTGAAGTTAACTTCAATTCACCTTCCTCCTCAAATATAAGCAGCAATTCTAGTAAATTTAATTTTTGGAAAATGTTGCTTTCAAAAATAGTTCCCTGTGAGGAATAATTGCTTTCACATTTACTGCATAACTCCTGCAACAAACAGATTAAATCCCACTCTGCGCACACTAGTAAACACATATTTTGAATTGTTATTTTTGCCACTGTCAAAGAGAAGGAAGTAAAACTAAAGGGACATGAAACATTGCAAAAATGTGTTTACCATTTGTCAAAATGGGATTTAATTTGTCAACAGTGTCTGGCAGTTGTTGCTACTGTGTGTGGAGGCATGTGAGGAATTGGTCCCCATCGTGAAGTGGTCTCCCAAAGGCCCACCTCTGCCCAGGGGGGACCCCAGGGGGTGGACAAACAGCAAACTCCACCTCCAAAAATACAGAACTCCCAGGGGAAATATTCTGTGACCGATTTGGTGGGTGACGTTTTGGTTGGAGGGGAGGGTGGATGTTTTTGATTTGGTAATGGGTGTTGTGTGCATACCACGAGGTAGGGAGCCGGGAACACGGCTGGCTGAATGGAGTCTTTAAAGAGGCAATATTGTGTCAACATTATGAATTGACATTCTGATGTGAGGTCATCTTCAATAGTCAAATTCATAGCCTTAGTGATGCATAATCCAACATGGTAGTAGAAAAATCTTTCATTGCCTTCAATCGTCAACAATCTTCAGTAAAGGGATGGCTCTGCAAGTCTGGGGAATAATATCTTCATTTACATATCTCCATTTTCCATTTCTCATTTTCACAGGGAGATCCCTGAGTATGGCATACTCGATCCGTCCTTGCATGTGAACTTTCCAGTACCTACGACAGTTCACCCATCATTTTTTTCTTTCACATTGTTCTAATTGTGATTAATTTCTTTGTAAATCTTGTGCAAAAACATTTTGTTATCATCTTCACTAGACACAAGATCAGTGTGACTTCTGATTGTGTAGGTACAGATACGTTATGCTGACAGGAAGGTTGGCTTTGCAAAAGAAAACTATTCATGTTTTCTGTCAATAAAGATGAGGCTTTAGGTATACAAAATCTGGAACTTTTACTGAGGCAATCTGAAAATTAGTTGGGTGATGCATGTAATTTTTGGTGTGATTCTTTCATTTATTTTGAAATGATCTGCTTCGTCTCTTTGAACTTAAAGAACAGTTTGTATTTTTCTGGTTTATTTGTACAGATTTTGATAATTTAAAGTAAGTTATTGCTCATAGCTCTTCTTTCTGCATTTTATAAATATTGCCTTTTAATTTGTTCCACAAATGTTTACAGCCATTGCATCTTTAAGCTGTTTTGTCTCCAAATGAAGACAAGACTCGCCCAGGAATAGCTGCAGAGTTATTCACCCAGTGAGGGGTCCCATCTCTCCAATTCACCCACGCTTCCTCATGGGACGTCCCACGCACTGAAAACAAACAAGCGAAAAACCCCATAGTTATGGTACTAGTCAAACTGGATATCATCTCTGGGAAGCAAATCTGGCAAGGCTTGCTGTGTGATAGCCTGCAGCCAGCTAGGCTGTCAGACAGCTATGGCTACTGATAGCCTGCAATGGGAGACATGGGAGACAAGTGCCCTCTCTTGGTAGGAATAAGAAAATGCCAGGCTGGAATAATAGCATTTGTCAGGGTTGCCAACAGGTGAACTGATCTCACCTGTCTCCTGATGCAGCAGGACGATAATCAGGGAGTTCTTTCAAGGCCACCATACTTACCAGTGTAAAAATGCACTATATTTTGTTAATGAAATCATCTGTGTCCAAATACAGGTGTGAAGAGGTTGATTGAGCTGGTTATATCCCCATCTCCATCAACCTTGCAGTCCCTGGCTGTTCACATCACTCAGACTGGCTCCATAATTGTCATGGGGATTACCAAGTTAAGCCAGCAGTGGTGGGTGCAGGAGATAAAGATATCAAGAGCCGTGCAGGTCAGTCGTTAGTCCAGCCAAGGTATGGTGGGTTGATGCCTGCTTTGCCTGGTTCTGTGTTGTCCATTAGTGGTCATTTGCTAAGAAAGAGTTGTGCCACTTGGCAGGCTTATTTTGAATTCTGATGCAAGAGTTTGGCCCTTCTTTTTAGACAACTAAATTTTCCCTATGACAGGTTGACAATGTTGCTATCAGCACTGTAGTTAAGATCTTTTAAGACCATCACAAGAAGCCACAAGACTATTGCAAGACCTTCAGTTGGAGTCACAGGCATTTCAGATGAGTTGCACCAAAAGCATTTCCTTTTTTCTTGGATAACGGGTCTTGTGTCTTGTGACTGTCTCGACCACACAACTGAAAACGGTTGAATTCTTTGCATATCCCCCCCCCCACATTTCTACCTCTCAAAAATTTATTCTTTTGCCTTGCAACTGACTTTGTTAAGTGTAGTCTTTACCCTTTCTGGTACAATGTGATGTCTCAATGAAAGCTTTTGTTCTCATATGCGTCATACTATTAACTATCTCCTAAGTTATACTTACCTCTGATCTGTCTCTGTCATATCCTGTTTTTATTCTTCTACTTATCTCATTTTAATTTTCATTTTCCTGTCAAAATATGAGCCCCTTTTGTTTTATTCCCCTCAATGATGAGTTTTCTCCTTATTGTTTCCAGTGCCGCTTCATACCAGCAAATTTTTGTGAATCCTGGCGTTTACAGTCTTGTTAATTTCAAATGGCCACTCACACCCCTGAAAGCAGGAAGCTGTAGCCAAAGCTAGATACAAAAATCAACATTTCATAAACATTCTCAAGTCATCTACAAGTTTTTTCATATGGATTTACATGATCAACTTATTTCATTCAAGATTTAAGCTTACAAAATCATGTAACAAGCTTAAGTCTTTCTCCATACTCTGGAACCATGCAAATTTGTGATTCCTTGGACAAGTCAGGCCACATGATTTATTTTTCCCTCATGGCCTACCCTGCTTGGAGCTTTAATTACAGGTTTCCTAATTGGCTTTCCTGTTACCGGTAGCTGTCGGAGATTGTGCCACAAAGCGCCCTCGCTGTCCAGTTTGTTACGGAAGCCAAGGCGATCCTTTATGAAGTCATCTCGGCCGAGGCTGATAACCGCTCCCACGTACCAAGGATGTTGAGCCCAATGACGGCGGGCAAGCAGTTGAATCAAAGGTACACCGGCAAGTGAAAAAAAGCTTCTCAAAGGGAATTTGTCTTGGAAGGAGGGAGAGAAAATTGGGAGGTAATAATTTGGGGTGTGGGTGGGTTAGTTGTGCTGGGCTTTGGGGTAGGAGTAGAGGACTGGGGTACCGTCCAAAGCCTTATGTCATGTCTGAAGTGGGCTTCAAGAGCTACGTCTATTGTCAGGGTGTCTCTGCATATTTTCAGTTGATCAAAGAGCTAGAATTACCTCTAAGCATCTAGGCAACAGATTGGGATGCAGCCTTGGCCATTTCTAAACTTGGTTCTTTGTACCTATTTGATAGAATTTAGTCAAGAGAAGAATTGGAAACCCTTTAATTTTGCATTTTGTTCAGGACAAACCTTGTATCAGCATTGTGTCCCTAAACCCGTCGATGTGAAGTCATCGTGACTCACAAGACCTACTGAGGTTGTTTATAATTAGACTCTGAGCATGGGAATGTATGGTTTATCATTTTTATCTAGTGCACCAGGGAAGATAAAAGGAACATTATCAAGCACCTTAAACCCAAAACTAGGACATAAAGAATTAGGGCAATTGAATCATTTCCACAGCAAATAAAATTTCATGCCAACGTTAAATTATTGCTGACAGGGAACTGAGTGCCAGCTGTGGCATTCATTCTCACTAGAACGACCTCAGGGATTCAAAGGTGATGATGTCATCTTGAATCTCAAAAAAGAAGGTGATGTCATAACTAAAAATATCCCATTTGGGGAGAGTGGTTAGTCCTGACCTTTCCTTTGTCAAGAGCAAAGTTTGTAATCGTTGTTGATGTGGTCGTGTGTTCGTCAGAATTAGTTGCAGCTTGGCCATTATTGAATTATAGGATTTCAATTTAGCTGTGGTATTTGGAGTGAACCTAGGGCATTAAACATTAAACAAAGATAAGGACTTCCTCCTATTTGAGAATGTTTGGGTGAATTGTTGTGATAGTGTTGACATAATGACTTCAGTCCAACTTTGATGAATCCGTGGTGAATATTCAGAATTTATAAATGCAGTTTTTTCTTACCCAGTCCGACTGTCCAACTCTTTTTTTTCTCTTTCTCTTTTGAATTCTAGGGATATTGGGAGGGCCATCATCACAGACTCACTGCCCGAGTTTCAGATTCACAACTACTCTGTGGTCGTTGGCAGAGCTCACGTCTACAAACAGTTTGATGCGGAGACATGGATGACAAGACCAGCACTCAAACATGATGTCAGTAAGTGCTAGATAATAGTTTTGTCTGTCAGACTGCCAAGATGCCTTTTATCCTACATGTACAACTTCATGCACTCTTTCCTCGTCTTGAAAATTATTACTAGCATAGGTATGTCTGAAAGTTTAAGTTTAAAGAAGTTTGTCAGTACCTTTAGACCAGGCATTCACTAAGTCATTCATCATTCAAAGAATGAAAAGAGAATATGTTCACACAACAATTCTCTCTCGCTTAATTTATTTCTTTGTCCTTTGTGGGTGAGAATATTTTTTAATTCCTCAGTGCCCAAAGTCTGTCTTGTTACAGGGTACATAATTATTATTTCTGTGTCCCTAAATATACAGTTATCCAACCCTATGATGGAAAGACAGTCCTGATGTATCTCAAAGTGAAGAGAAGTAAGTCATACTTTGTGGAAGTAAACAAGTGCGGCATATTTCTCTTTGTTACAATTTTCTGTAAATTGTCAAATTTTAAAACTCATCGCTAGGCACCGGTCAGTATGACAGAGTTCTTTTTATCTACATGTACACTATATCTTGGCGTTAGACCTTAATTTTCTGCTTCTTTTCTTGTTTTTGTTGCAGTTATTAGAAAGGGTTTGTAAGTCCTAAACTTAGAGACCATTTCTTATTGTAGCCCATTTTTCTCAGCAGGTGTACCTGGGTGGCATTGCGGTGATGTTGGTAAGACATTTGAGATGCCTGGTGCTTCTAGCATCCTGATCCTAGCCTGTCATAATCGGACACACATCCAGGGCTTGCCCTTGATAGTCCAAATGCTCAAGGATACTTACCCCGCCAAGAGATGGAGGTTGTTTGACTTGAGAGCCTACCCAAACCAGGCTGAGGTTATCAATCAGGTTAGTGGATGTTGGGTCATGTGGTGTGAAAGCTATTTGTTAAAATACAGCCTTGTCCCTACTTAGGTTTTGTCTCTGGAACTAAATTTGTTTGAAGACCTTGAATGTACGGCTCACAATGAAAGACTCCTTAATTCAGTTTCTCAACAATGGTCATTCATGACAGGGATTTTTTAAAATTTGAATTGACTTGAGATGCTCTTCAAGCTTGGTTCTGTGTGAAGACTGCTTTTTCAGATGACAGATTCTTCATTAGAACACTGACTTTTCTGAAAGGTTCATGTTGTGATTGTTACGGTACTTGTTTCTGCATTGTCTCCCTGTTTAACTGAAGAGAACGTAACTGAAGGAAAACAAAAAAATCAGAACTGAAGTTGTCAATATAACTCATTTTGGCAGACGCTTTCCGTCAACACAAGTAGCAGCATCGCGTGCCTTGAAGAGGAAGGAAGATTCGCCTTTACCCAACTTCATACAAATATGACGCTTGAGGTTACAGGCGGACACGCCAAAATTGGGCAGATTATCGATGAGAGGTGAGACATAATTAAGATCATAAGATGAAGTGTCTAAGACATGTCAAGTGGTATGATAATGCTGGTTGTGGTGTCAGGTCAATTGGCCATTTGATCATGGGTGCTTATTACAGTTGTAGAAACCCTGGAAAGATTAGTTTGTGATTTTGTTTAGATTATTCATGTAATTTTATTTCCGTCAGAGGTACTTTTTTGATTCACAATCATCTCAGAAGTATTTTCTGGCTGTTAAAGCAGAATTAGGATTGGAAATATTGTAACGGACCGAGCGGTAACCAATGACCTAGCGGTGGGGCGCCGCCCAAATGGGCAGCGACTGACCAAAAAAAAGCAGTAAACGAAAATTAAGGCAAATTTAAGACACAAAGAAAAGCACACAGCACCACAGGATTTCCAGGGGGCCCTCCAGACATTGTATATTTTATAGACTAATACTTAAAAATTATAAAGGAGGAGGAAAGTATTGTAGGAAAAGGTTGTGTAGTGTTTAAACGACTGAAGGGGCGTGGCCTGATATAACTGCACTTGGTTAGCGTTAAACATAAAAACAAGCAGGCACAAATTTGATGAAGTGGTGCTAGGGGCTGGAGGCAATAGGCACAAATGTGCACACAACCAAAAAAGGAAACAAGGCCAAATGAAATTGGGGGGGGAGTAAATAAATTCACAGAGACTTATCTGCACAAACGTAGAAAACTAAAGATCCCCCAAGCCGATGAGTTCCTCCGACCCACGCTGCCAGTTGGCTTTGGCAAAACGACCACACCTCAAGCTAGTGCTACTGGGTTTTATACAGTCATCGCGATCTGCCTGACTGATTATCAATGGAAACTAGGTGAGAAACTATGACAAAAGAAGTCTGTGCCTTACCCCAGTACACAATACCTGAAGACTGAAACTTGGGAGGCCTCACCCCGCGTACATGTTGGTAATATATGCACCAATACAATGACGTTACAACCTATTTGTTACAATATTGAATTGTTTTTTGTTTTATTTAGTTTTAATCTTTGAAATCTGGGCAGTGGAAAATGTCAAGGCATCTGACAGAAATATTTTCAGAACTGAAAAAGTTCTTAAACTTCAATTTGGTTTTATATTAACGAAATTTATACATGCGTTTAAGACAAGCTTAGGAAATTTAAGACCAACCAAGCACATATTTATTTCCATTCATAAATACTGTTTTAGTCACAGAATCAAAAGAAGTCACCATACTATAATTTTCCTAGGATATTGTTTAACAGTTTTACTTCCATTTACCAGAACAACCTTTTCCATTTCATATTACATTCCTTATGCAACTACTGGTAGAAGAATCTCCTTATTTGGACTTTGGGCGCTCGTGGTGAGTTCTGCATGCCGCAGCGCACGCATTCTCTTGACCAAAAAGAATTGAGTAAACTGTCTCGTATCCCCTTGTGCCAGCGTGTTTTTACGCCACAGGCATTGTCAAATCGCAGCGGGCATTATCAAATGTTCATACACAGTCATGTTGCACGTTGTTGAATAGGGAAACTGTCTAAGGTACATGTATTTATGAATGCAGTTTTATTTCTGCATTTGCCAAGAGTATAAGACATCAGTTGGTAATGACAGGCCGATGTCAACAGGATAATCTTTAGGTATTAGTACACTGTCAATGATCACCAAGTTGAAGGTTATCTTCTGGTGCAAGGAAAGAGAAAATCCCCAATGTGGCATTTTTTGTCCCTCGCGACCATTCAGGTGCCCATCGCATTAATACCCGTCTCCAGTTTGTCTTGTTCAAGCTGGAAAACTAGATCCACATCATTGAACACCTTAAACTGACCGATATTATCCTTCCCAATCTTAAGAGATTACACGGTCAGGTTGATAATGACCGCAGTGTGTGACCCTGGTCTTATAATTGACTATTCCCTCGGTTTCTCACAGCAAGTCAAGAGTGACACAGCCCTTATTGGTGCTTGGTCAATTCCTACGAGAAAAAGTAAGTTACTTATGCAATTCTGGGTTACTGTTGCTGCATATCGACCACCCAATTTTAGTCAAAAATTCTCAACCTTTTACCTTGCTACAGGTCAGTCGTGTTTTTCTTTTTTCACTTGAAAAAAAAAAAGATGTGTACCTTTTACAACTTAACATGATTACACTTTACCAGAGAGGTTAATAAGGATGTTTTATACTAGGTCTTGCCCTTACAATGATTTACATATTCACCGCATTCTCAGCATAGTCTGAGAGTTGCAAAAAAATCCTTTTCTTGCTCGGGTGGAATTCAAGCCCATAACTTCCTCCTGACTAGCTGCACAAGTCTTCTTTCATCAGACAATTGTTTCCATCCTACAAACCACACTGAGAATACATTGGAGTCTTTAAGTCAACGTAAGGGCAAAACCTGTCTAAAATTAACATCCCCGACACAAAACTCAATTATTCTCATTGATTAGGATATCTGACCCATGTTTAAGCCCAAAGCAATTTCCAGTATGGAAATCCAAGACAAATTTGCACCATTTAAGTGGATCCTGTTTTGTACCAACCCTGTGCAAGTAATACTTTCCAGTGCGGAAATTTTGCACAAATGTTATCATATTCTCAGCTCCTGGTTTACAAGTTTGTTTGTGTGGATAACATATTGAAAAGGGAAATTGGTTCAGTAGTATGCAAGATGTTGAAGTAAGACAGGGATATTGAGTATCAGTTCTGTCAGAGGAAATTACATATTGGATTCAGTGGTCCATTCTTAAAAACCCTGGATGAAATTTGAGCCTACTTGAAAATCATTCTCATGCATGCCCAGGTATTTCGTTTTGGTTATTGAGTCTGGTGCCGCTGGCTGAAATGATTTCTGTTGGATCTGCTTGTTACATGATATGTGGTATCGTTGGGTAGTTGTCATATGAAATTATATGTGAGTTTGTCTTGCTGGGGGTGCTGCTCTTCCTCAGACTTTTGACATACTATCTCCAGTTTATTATGCCACACCCCCATCCCTGACAGCCATTTCTGATCAGTAAGCAATTCAGTAATCATGACTAGCTTTATGTTTTGTCCATTTTAAGAACGTGCGGCATTCGGATCTCTGCATTACTGTCAACATGTGAATCAGATGGACAGCTCACACAAGAAAGGAAGATCGACTGATAATGTTGTCAGTTTGGATGCATAAACATATAATTACCCTGTTTTCACACTCGAGATTGACACCATGTAATCCTGGTAAGGGGTGTGAAAACTCCCCAAGTACCAGAAACTTGACGTAGTGTCGGTATCATTAAGCCACTTCCTCTAGCCCCAGGAACCGCGTGTTCGTGTCAGGGAAACAGAGAACAACTTGATGACAGTGATAATCCTCTCACACTGCAAGTCATACGCTTCCACCATCCAGTCGGATTGCTAAGCCCCCAAATAACGAGTGTTTGGCAAGGCTTCCTCCCACCAGCCATCCATTCATTTCCAGCCTGCTAACCGCCAATATCCCTCTCGGAATCGGCAGGGATTAAACATAGTCACTTCAGGTCAGGCTGCACTCTGAGCTTTTCCTTTCCCATGTCTTGTGTTGGGCAAGACGTGATGTTTGCTTTCATATCTTTCCTGTTTCATTTCCTTCAGTTGCTGTCAGCTAGTTGATATCTCAGACTCGGTCAGTGGACAGTTCAGCCCTAGAGAGTGGGGACTCTACCAAACATTCCCAGGTACTGCCCTGTCTTGCACCTCAAGGGCTCAGAATTTTTAAGGCATTGTTGCTATTACAGTTTGCAACATAATGTAGTTTAGTTCCTTAAAATGTAAATTTAAAATAAAGCTGGTATAAAGAAGCACAACCTTGGGAAAGAAAAGCATGTCCGTTGCATAAAACTTGCAAATCTGTGGGGATTAAGTGCTTTATTTTTTTACTTTTACCCTAGATGGTAGAGGGGGTATGTTCCCCCACCTGACTTTAACTGAGGCCTCATGTCAACACCACCTGACCCCTGACACTAACGCCAGCAAGTATGCAGTCAGGCAGCTTGATCTAAGCAGAAGCTTCAAGTTCTCCCTGACGGCAAGCCGGAGAGGCAAAAAAGGTAGGTTAGGGAGATAAAACCTGAGAAAAGGTTTCCATGGTAAGGGATGTTTAGTTTGTATTAATTTGTTCAAACACTATACGAAAGGTACATGTACATGTATGTGAAATGGATGGGTCTGCATCTTTCACTTGAGTTGTACATGTATGTATACAGCAATTACCTCTTGGACTAATATTTAATAGTGTTTGACTTGACAAAATGATCATACATGCTAACTTTGAGAATGTGCACAAGTTGTCTTGAGTGTAGGGTCAACAACAATACTGGCATCTCCTCAGATGAATCTGTAACTGAGGAGGATGGAAATCAATTTTCTTTATTCGAAAGGTTTTACTTCTCCAACTTATATATAAGGTAGTATTGCCTTGATGTTTTGCTGGACGCAAGTATCCTGTTGACAAATCTTTGGGAAGTCAGTTAATAGTGTTGCAATGAAACCGTAAGTCACTGTCACAGTAGATAAGTTATTTCTCATTTTTCCTTGACACTTATCTATTTTTTCCTTCCATGTTATTTTTATTTCTCACAGCCAAGGACAGGCCATTGATGTATTACCAAGTAGCTAATGCGAAGTTGATCAACGTGCGGTCCAGTTACGCCCAAGACAAATATGGATCAGAGACAATGACGCTGAGCGTCCGAAATATGCTGCACAGGAAGGTGCGGCTTATAATGAAACTGGACAGAGTCAAGCCATTTCCTTGGAAACAGTTTGGAGGAAGGCGTAAATTAAGCCCAGTTGTCATTTTTATGTTCATTCATTTTGCACTTTGTAAATTTGCACTTTTCATATTTGACTGATGATAGATACATTCAATTTCCGAAGTGAAGTATTTGGTAGTTCTCTCTCTGAATTCTCTCAACAGTATTGGCATTCGCCCTCATGGATTCTTTTGGTCTCAAAACATCAAGCCTTCTAACTTTTGAAGTTCATATTTTTGAGGGGACACTCTCTGTAGTGGCAAAACTTGTGAAAAAAACCCATCATTTCTTGCGCTGGCATTCTGAAAGCAAACTCTTTAATTTGATAACAGGGTTCCTCCTCGGTGACCTTTAACCTCCCAGATGCATCCCTTCTGTGTCCCCGTACGTCATTTACTCTGACTTTTCAAGCAGCCTGCCCCTTCACCAAGCACCTGCATTATGTATACCAGCCTCAACTCACCCAGCAGGAATTCTTATACGGCAATCCTACAGACTCCAAGGGCAAACCCATATTGATTGACATTCCGGTATGTTGTATGGGACTATCCTTGATGCTTCCATTACAATTGACCTGCAGTCGCAAAGCCTTTCACAAAACCAGTCACAAGTAACGGTGAACAATGACAAAGGAATACTTTTGTCAAAGTTCATTTGAAAAACTTGTGCTTGGCTTAAGAAGGAATGAAAATTGATGGACTTAGTCCATGTGTGGACTTATAATATGTTCAACCCCAGTCCTAGTGAGAAGATAAGATGAAGACTTAGACGTGTTTTTGACATAGCAAATGTTTGACAGAATTATCTAATAACTGAAATTTAGTTGCATTTTGTTTTCCAAGCTTGGCAACTTTAAATGCCTTTTTAGCATGACGTAGTCTATGTCGCATGCGCCACTTTTTTTCACCTGTCACAATTTCCGTTTACTCTTTTGAACAAAAATGACTAAAGAAAGGTACGAAAAAGAACCCAGAATGTGCATCACTTCCATTACTGTCATAATTTGTTTTGAGTAACACTTCCGAGTAAACACACTTGACCTTGACCAGGCAGCATAATTTACATGACTCTCCATGGTTGTTCTCCAATTATCAGAGCATCTTGTGCCTTTTGACAGGTCAACTATCGACCCCCATCACTTCTAGGTATTTCCATTCCAACCAGTAACAATATCTACAATGCTGATCCTAGTCAGCCAAGACCCAGAGATATCTATCAGATATCAAAGGTAAATAAGAAGATATAATAGACAAGGTAAGGAGGTTGCCACTGAAGCATTAGATAGAGCCTGATTGCCACTTGAAAGCACAAAGAGGATGATTGTTGGATTGCTGTACGGGATAATCTTAAAAGGTTTGGAAAGGTCATTATCAGTTAGGTTTGTTAACATCTCAAAGAAGAATCTGAAATGATGCCAATAATCTGAACATTTTCAAAAAATCCAGGTCATTGAATATTTCTCATTTTGGGGGCCCAATTCGTCACTTCCTTTCCTCTATTGCTACTTTCAGGACAGCGGTACCTACAAGCAGTGCCTAGGTAAAACCAATCGCTCTGAGTGTGGTTGCACTGATGCCATGAAGATGTCATCCTTAGAGAGAGACACGGACTGTAGACAGCGGGTATGTGTCAAAGACTTGCTCAACTTCTAGCTGCTTTACTTAAGACTTTACCAGCACTAACTAACTGGTAAATGAGGGGCCTAGCAAAGCACTGAAACAAGGCACAGCCCACAACATGGATGCTGGCACTTTACTGGCTCATTGAGATTTCTGCTGTTGCAATCACATCACCTATCTTTGAATTCCACTGTGTTTTGTATTAGCCAGTACGTTGTTTTAAATTGTATGGCATTGTGTTGCTTGTATTATATTGTGTTTGTTAGCATTACCTTGTATTTATTCCCTGATGACATTATCAAAACTGATGTGCTGTGCTAAGGGCTGGTTGGGAGTCTAGGGATCAATAGGCAGTGCTACTGGTGCCAATGACATCAAGAAAACTGTGCCATTGGTGCTTTACCTTTCTTTAGGGGCTCTTTGGACAATGATGATCATGCGTTTTAGGCCTACAGGTTAGTGCATCCTGGCAAGTTATCCCTGAGGTTCCAGATCTTAGAAGCGGAGACGGAACCAACCGAGCTGCTGGAACTTTATGTCATCACCTTGAAGGAAGTGAACGGAAGGCAGGACTACATGGTTGAAGGTAGGTAGGTGTGCATTAGGGTGGGGCTTGGAAGGGGGTGGGACGTGACTTGGAGGATGGCAGGTCGGCATTGTCAAAGGTAAATAAAGCCAGAGACAGGGCAGAGCTTTGTTTGCTGAGATCAGTGAGTGACCAAAATGTGGCAAGATGGGTTTTTCTCAGTTGGGGCAGGGCGTGATTGGGGACAAGAGGTTGGTAACGGTAAATACAAGGACTACATTATAAAAATCAGGGGTGAAACACGTTTATGATGTGGCAGTGTTCATCAGAACACGGAATGAGATGATGGTGGGGCAAGGCTTGTGAAAAGTCAAACTCTATGTCCGAATTACCCGGCTCTGACTTGTAATTACTCACAAGTTAATTTTAGCCATAGATTATAGGAATAGACTTCTTGCTTCATTTCAGACTGCAGCCAAGTAATTCACACAAGTCCTAGCTTCCCGGCAGAGAGGTATTTATCTGGACAAGCACTGGTTTGCAAGTGCATAATACAAGCACCTCTGTTGATTGTAATGATTGTCTCTTGCAGCTGAGTCCACCCCCAGCTTGGACAAGATGAAGGAGGAGCTTAGTGAAGTAATGAACAACACGAGTGAGTTTATTGACCCGGCCACAGTGAGACTCACACTCACGGTGAGCAAAGCATTCTCATTAAAACTCTTTTTCTTCCTTTATTTTGGACGTTAGTTTGAGTTGTGATTAATTAATATTACTACATGTACAAGGCGATGCCAATGTAGACAGGTCAGGTTTTAATTTTCTTTCATCATCAACCAATTATTGCAAGTATTTAAAAGATTAATAAGATTTTACATATCAAATACATTCTTGTGTATTGCAGGGTTCAGGACTCTATCACTTCAGAGCGTCAGTAATTCCAGGTTTCAGTTACTGTAATTTGGAAGATGAAGTGCAGGTAAGACAGAATTCTCCTCTTGCATATCACCTCCTAATCTTCATTCATCAGACTCTTGTACTAAATGTCTTCTTTCTTTATTAATCCTTTAAATATCTGAAGACTTTCTTCCAGGCAGTATGCGCCATCTCTCTCAAAAGGAGACACTACGGGTAGAGCTCTAGTATTGCATTTCAGATGTTTTAGGTGCGAATCCTACCTATGTCCATTTTCTTTGCTACAGGTGTATGTTGACATGGCGCCTCTACCGAACCCTACCCAGATGATTGTCATCACTGTCATCAGCATTGTGATTGGCGGCGTGTTGTTCTCAGTGTATCTCTATTATCTTCATTTGCACCATCAGCCACGCATCCGAAAAACTGGCTCGCAGTGTATGGACCCTCAGGAACTACGAGAACAAATGAAGCAGTGAGGATGATGGTGGTGTCTGGTTTCAATCTGACATGATTGTGGAGGGAGGTCCAATAAGAATTCTTAAAGTCCAAGAAATCAGGTCATGAGAATTATCTTCCTGAACTGCGTCCAGTCTTGACCAGGCATTATTGCCAGCTGTTTACAAGCTTGTCAAAATAAAAGGAGGCCCAAAATGTGTTTTGTTTTTTTGGAATAAATAATTATTCTTTGCATATTGCATACTCTTTTTCTAGGGAACTCTGTCCACTTTCTGTCAAAAACGTTATATCTTTTTAGCAGTTTTCCAAATGTTGTGAATTTTCTGCAGATCCATGCTGACTATTGGCTTTGCATAAGTTTACTTCATAAAAAAGTTCTTGAATCTTTACATGTTTTTCTGCTGAACTTGTAGATTTGAGATTATTATCATTTTACTTAGGGTTCCCATAGTAACCCCAACAATTGAGCAATTAAATTGTTCCAAATAATATTCATTATTGCTTGTCACAAAGAATTGGTGCAACCAATATGTAGAGTACTTTGCTTCTTGATGTTACAAAAAAATTACTTGCCAAGTGAAGTTGTTTATAAATTTTTATAAATGTCACATGTTCTGAAGTTAGAAG